AAAAAAAAAGAGAGAGAGAGCTCGGTCCATCAATGATTTTATATTTATTATAATTTTGTAACGTGAATTTTAGAATTTTAGAAATGGACTAGAGGGGGAAAACAAAAGTAGGAAAAGTGCTGAGATAAAATAAAAAAAAAAACAAAAATATTATAAATTCGGTAAATTTTAGGGGGTTTTTGGTTATCCTGACTGATATTACTGTTGTTGTTGCTGTTGTCGTTGTTGTCGCACGGCTCCTTCGTTCGCGATCCACCGCAGACCACAGTCGGTACGTCTAGCCCATCATGTTGGCGCCGAACATCATGACAAAAAAAAGTGTGTTTTTCTTTTTGTTTTGAGACCCACTCGGCGCGGACAGTTTGGGCTTACGATGTCGTATCAATCCCACTGTCGAATCGTAACTGTAGGACGACGGTTGTCGGTGCCGATCTAAGGCGAACCGTAGATTATTTTACACGGGCTCGGGTCGGTTTTCGGTCGAACAAAGAATTACGTACTACATGGCTACGCGGACTGTAGAATAATGACCGTGGTGCGGACAGTAGTTCGGAGGACGGCAGACCCCCGTACCCCGTTGGCGCGATCGAACGACGCGGAAACGATGGCACACTGGCCACTGCCAACTCGTGCATATTGTTATCAGCAACTGATGCACAAATTTTGCAACATTACAAGTCTAATGACATATAAATTATTAAAGAACAAAATATAATAATAATTAAATAATATACTTACTGTGCACGGTTTTCTGATGAGTGGCGAGATTACCTTTGATCATAAATTCTCTTGTACATTCAGCACGTGAAAATTTGAGGTTATTGTGATCATTCATATGACGTTTTAAATTATCCTGTCTGGTGAATGAACGAGAACAAACGATACATGCGAACATTTTTTCGAAAAGGCGTGTGAAATCACTTGGTGAACTGAAGGATAGTTGAAACGCAACTAAATATTAATTGGTGAGTTTGTGGTCAGGGGTATATAATTCGATTTCTCACTCCGTACGATAATAATGAAAACCCTGTCTATAAGATCCGACTGTTGACTGTTGGTAATGGTGAATAATAATAATAATCGTTTTATTGCGGATGGGTATTCGGATTTTACATCACGTAATTCGCCTCTTATCGTATTTATGGCCTATATATTTATTCTACAAATGTGCGCGCGTGACAGTTGTATAATACACGAACCATACACGAGTAAAGACGATATTATCGTCGGCCGCGCGGGTAAATTATTATTGGTCTCGGTCACGTAAGGGACACGAGCACCGGACCCATATTCTATACACGTGCGGTATATTATTCTATGATAGCCCGAATGGTATGTAAGAGGTGTACAAAAAAAAAATAAAATAATATTTGACAAATTTTTGTTTTCGTGTATCTATACAGTTAAAAGGAAAAAATTATCCGATGTTTGTGTGTGTATATATAATGTGTTGGTATGTGTGTGTGTGTGTGTGTGTGTGTGTGCATGAGTTTAGATATGGCATACAGATGTCGAGATGTATTGTGACCACGGAGAATATATGTAGGCGAAACTGCGGTTAGTATGATAAACAGTGGTGGTGGTGGAGGGTGCTGAACCCCCGTTTCCCTACTACTCACACTATTTACCGAAAAAAAAATAAAAACATGTAACGTATACACAAAGAGTCGTCGTTATTTCCGGGAAACAGTCCAACAGCTATAAAATGTATCGGCGGCGGTCAAATGATTTCGTCGCGACGAGGACAATTTTTATGAACTATTATTAATCACGTGATAATATATAATATATATAACACCTAACCTACAAATGTGATAATGGGGCATATGTATCACCATCAATGTACATTCGACCGTTATATTGAAAATGTATTTTCATTTCTTGTGATTATTGTGTACGTTACAATCGGTCGAAATGTAAAATAAACACTCGTAACAAAACAATATAATAATAACCACGAATAATTACGTATGTAAATATTCAGATTATAGTTTTTTTTTCGACGACGTATTGTAATACGCGCGGCGTTAGTATCGACGATCCGCATTTCGGAATTGAGAATTTTTACGCGCGAATGTAATTATTGTACCTCTTTCTTTAGTTTTTTGATAACGTCAGCGGATTCGTTTAATCGGTAATGATGCAACTATCGACGACGTCCTGTTATAATAATTGATACGACGGGACAACAGATTGCCTACAGTGCAAATTTCGCATCCGCCGAAAATCTGAATACCTGAATAGAACGGTCCTAAAAGAGGGTAATTTCTTGATTTTCCCAGGAATTTTTCATAAAAAATGGGAAAAACTAGGAAAAACGTAGGAAAAAAAGAAAAAAAGGCATAACACAAATATTTTTGAATAAAATGTTTATAATGCATATTATGTAATTTTTTTACGGTAATATGACATAAATATTATTAAAAAAAACCCATTACTATGTTTCAAAATTCTCATTTCTTTTTAGAGTATATAGATCAAAAGTCGTACAAAAACTGCCGCCGCCGACGCCGGCACACATTGCGGGCTGCAGTACACCGAACGGTGACAACGACGTCATACCGCATTACAAAATTAAGAACATTATTAAAATAATAGTAACGAAATGATTTTTTTTTTTTAATCGTTGTTTTGGGATTTTAATAGATTGAAATTTGCAAATCATTACACGACGGTCGTAAACTATGAAAGAATGATCTGGTAAATTGAATAGACTCAAAATACAAGACGATACTCGTTATCACAGAAAGAAAGCAAGTGATTATTTACACGATAACAAAATACTATGAAATCATTCTTTTTACCGTTTTTATCAGTCTTTTTCAATTATTAAGAAAACTAAAAAACACACGAAAAAGCGAATTTTATATTAATCAACTATATTCAAAATACAAAAAAAAGGTCTATTGAATGATTTGATTATAGCTATATTTATTGTAGAAAACAGAAACTTTAAAATATAATTTTGTTTACGAGCGACAAAAAATGAAGGGTCGGCAAGGACAGCCGAGCAGTTCGAAAATAATTGTAGGTACACGGGTACTAGGGACACATACGGTAAGACGTATTTATCACCACTCGGTGTACTGCAACCCTCGACGTGAGACAGCGGTTGCACAGGGCGGTTTCTGTATCACAACATGCGGATTTATAGTCTCTTTTAAAATTTATTAGGCAAAATTATTTTATTATTTACTAAATTTATAACTTGTTATTGCACCGAATACAACTGCATCTACTATTTCAATTTAACTAATGGACTGCGTAACAAAATTACGTTACCTAGATCGTAAATATTTGTAGCGTATAGGTTGAAATAACACGGGAAAACTGGGAAAAATGAGAAAACCAGTAAAATAATAAACAAAAAATATTAAAGAAATATATAATGTCAATTTAATTTTTCCCGATAAATTAACACATTAGGAAAATATTTACAATATTAAACTAATAAAATTAAAGAAAATGTCAATGCATGTTATTTAATTTAATGAATAATATATCATACAT